GTAGAGCCCACACCTTGAGTACAAGAATTTCTTGTGTTTCTTAAGTGTCTTTTTAATGTACGTGTTGTGCTTGCCCTGTGGTTTTGGGAGAGACATTTCCAGACCCTGAGGGAGCTGACATTGTTCTTTTTTGTAAAGACTGGGCCTGCCTTGTGGTAAGTTGGGCCCTGCCAGGATGTCCCCAAGGTCCAGAGAAGCCCCTAGGGCCCCACTGTAAGTGTGGCAGGGTCAAGTTTTTGCAACTTGACAAAGCCTCATCCTTTAGAAGGAAGTTCTGGCTCCTAAGCCAATATGACTCTTACGTGAGAAAGTCTCGTCCACTTTATTGCCTGTCTCTACTCTGCAGGAGTCAGGGCGTGGGGATGTGAGAGAAGCCCCGGGAGGCAGTGCTGCCAAGAGGGCTGCGTGGGAAGCTTGAGATCTCAAGCAGGACCAGATATTCTAGTCTCTGCTCACCTGCCCCATGTTCCTCAGTCTTCAGTACAGGTTTGGATATCAGATTCTATCTCTCATGAAGTTCAAGGACATAACTCTGGTTCTCAAGTGGGGCACGGAAAGCCCACCTTACCTTAGAGCTTTCTTTTAGCTGTTAATTGTCCACTGAAATCCAGGTAAGCAGAGTGTTCCCTTGCCTCCCCATGACCACTTTCAGCAGACCGTCAGTTGCACTGTCGCCATGGTATCTAGTCCCATCCCCTTCCACTGCAGCCCAGCCCTGATGCTCTTCTACATCCTTAGTGAGCCTCAGATTTTCTCAAACTGAGTTCTATAGAACCCCAATTTTTTTTTCTTTTCTTTTTAACTTTTAAAATTCAGGGGTGCAAGTATAAATTTGTTACATAGGTAAATTTGTGTCATGGGGTTTTGTTGTACAGATTATTTTATCGTCCAGGTATTAAGCCTAGTACCCAATAGTTATTTTTTTGGATCCTCTCCTTCTTCCTACCCTCTACTCTCTAAAAGTTTCCCCCAGTATGGGGAACCCAACATATCTTCTCATGGAAAAAGAACAGAGGAAAAAGAACCACAAAGTTGAGTTAAGGGATGAATATTCACACTGGTTATAGAACAAATTAAGTTCTGGCAACCAGATTTCTACATCTCTTGTGGACCAGACCTGGAGAAAGAGGTGTAAGAAGTCATGGGCAGATGGAAAAATGTGCCAGACAGACTGGAGAAATGAAATGTTTTGGAGAGTTTGAGGTCTGAGCTTAAAAAGTGGCTTCTGGAAATTGATCATGAAACAGGAGCTTTGAGCATCTGTCAGTGAATAGAGTAGAAAATAGCCATTCTATTAATATGCTTCCTTCCTTCCGACCTATATATCCCCTAGGGTGGAGGGAACACAGAGGCTGTACTCTAGTTGGAAGAATTCAATGTAGAGAACACGAATTACTTCCTCTGACACAAGACATTAGTGAAAACATAACCCAATGTCTCCTGTGCCTGGAATGATGGGGATCATTATACCCAGAGGTGAGGACTATTAGAAGAATATGGCTTTAAGTCAGATGAGTTTAGATTCAAATCCTAGCTCTTCTGTTTACCTGCTGTGTGAGCTGGAGTAAGTTTTTTAATCTCTCAGGAACAAAATTCTTTGATTCGTCATATGAGAATGTTAGCAAACACACTAGACTGTTAGAGAATTCATAGTTGAGTATCTGATGAATCCCCAGAAAAGTGCCTCACACAAAGAGGGTGTTTGGCAAACGCTCTAGCACCCTAAGCCCTAGCATCACACTCATTCATTTAAAATCTCTCTACAATTGCTGGTTGCCTCTCATAGGCCCCATTTATATCCTGCAGGGACACAGCCAGACGGAAACAGATCACTGGATCCTGCACTGCCAGCTGTCAATCAGACCTTGCTGATCTCTGGGTCTGGTCCCTCTGTCCTGCTGGGGGTGCCAGGACTGGAAGCTCAGCATGCCTGGATCTCTGTGCTTGTGTGCCTGCTCTACATGGCAGCTGTGGTAGGGAATGCCCTTCTCCTGGGGCTGGTAGTTGCTAACAAGGCATTCTTGGCACCCATGTACCAACTGCTGGAGCTTCTGGCAGCTGCTGATTTGGTTCTGGCCACATCCACAGTGCCCAGAGCTCTGGCTGTACTTTGGGGCTTGTCCAGTGAGATCTCATTTGGAGCCTGTTTGGCTCAACTCTTTGCTGTCCATGTGGCCTCCATTGCTGAATCCTCAGTGCTGCTGGCCATGGCTGTATACTGCTACACGGTCATCTGCCAGCCTTTGCACTATGGGGCTTTGCTGACCCAGCGTATGGTAGGTTTAGTGGCTGTGGCGGCTGTGACCCCGTGGTGCCTGTGTCATGGTGAATCCTGTGATCCTGCTTAAGAGAATGCCTTACTCTAGGCAGTGGACCCTGCCCGACACATACTGTGAACACATAGGTGTAGCTTGGCTGGCATCTGGATATGTGCCCCAACATCTGGTATGGCCTGGCCACCACACTGCCCTGGATGTGGGGCTCATAGGTGCTGCCTATGCCCTCATTCTCTGTGCTGTCTGCTGCCTGCCATCCTGTGGTACCCACTGCAAGGCTCTGGGTAACTGTGGGACCCATGCTGGTGTCATTGATCTCTTCTATACCCCTGCCCTCTTCTCCTTCCTCACTCACCATTTTGGTTGTCACACAGTACCCAGCCATATTGACATCCTATTGGCTAACCTCTACATGGTGGTGTCCCCAGCTCTCAGTCCTGTGTCTATGGAGTGCCAACTGGACAGATCATTCACAAGCTCAGGCACTTGCTTTGTCTTTTCTGGGCAGGAGCAGTGAAGAAGTGGGCCCTGAGAGGGCCTCCCCAGAGGAATAAACATGATCTCTGTTTTTTTCAGCATGTGTGCCCAGATGACCAAGTGATGCTGCAGGACCTGTCTGGGTAGATCTCTGACTAAAGCATCTCCATCCTCTGTTGTCAGGTGGACCTATGCTCACTCCAGCCCTATTTTATCATCCATCTTGTAGGCAGAGTACGCTGAACTGACCTCTCTCTGCCAAGCTGTACAGCGCCCAGTCTATTCCTGATATCTCTAAGTCTGTATTGATCTCCATAGACAGATTACACACATATGGAAGTGTTTGGTCCCAGACTGTGACAGGCTAGGAGGTCTAGGACACAGCCTGAGGACTAGGATCATATATTTTCTCCATCAGTTTATCTAGCCAAAACCAGATTAATGAAAGATGTCTCTGAGTTGGGCCCTTTGTACAATGTGTGACACTAAGCAGGACTCTGCTTGCTGAGGGGATGAAGACAGGAGGAGCTGGAGAAATGGTATTATGTGAATAAAACAGAACACAGTTCTGGAAATGGGCATGGTTTCTGACCTGGGTGATTAATACCTAGAGCTTGGAAGACCTGTTGGCTTTAGATGTGAAGAGAGTGGACAATGCTGTAGCTCCCTCACTAAGCTCTTTCCCTACTTTAATCAGATATTAAGGCTACTCTGGTGTTTTCAACTTGTGCTAAGGGCTATTCATAGATGGCAAAATATGGGGACAACCACTCCAGCACCAGTTGTCATGCTTCATGCTCTATCTGTTCTTTTGTTTTTCCTTTCGTATGTCCCTTCTTCTGTAAGATGCCTTAGTTCTAGTGTTACTCACTTGTACCTCAATCCCAGACAGGTTTCCTGCTTCATGAAGCTTAGGTTTCCTAAACTATTCCTCTCTTACCTTCCTAACCTCTATGCTCCTCTGGATCCCATGGCTACAGCAGGGCCAGGCTAGAGAAGCTAATGAAGAATGGATCTCTGGCCTTGAGCATGGAATGAGAGGGTGAGGATATGTAAAGTAAGATAAGGATGATCTCTTAGCAAGGATCGTCCAACGGAGCTCTGGGAATGTCTTCCTGGAGTCGTATAGCCACACAACTTCTCAGATCTTTTCCCAGAAGGGAAGTGGCAGCTTCATATACCTTTCTCCACTATGTATATATGCCAGAGCAAGGATTCCAAAGGATGAGATGAGTAAGCAGAGGACCTTTATATTAAGCAGCCATATTATCTAAAGTTAAAGGTCTGTGAAAAATAAAGAAACAATAAAGGATAGAGGTAGTAGAGCTACAAAGACAAAATTCCTCAATAGAAAAATGGAACAACACATTCTTCACAGAAAATCTTACATTCTCCTAGGCACTTGGGTGAATGTGACAGTACCAATTGTCTGAGAAATACTCAAGAGAGATAGCAGAAGAAAAGAGAATAGTTTTGCAGGGCTGGCACTACGAGCACTGAGCTTTGTGACTCAGTGCCTACACTGAGGCCTCAGGAACTACAGTCTTCTTTCTCTACAGGGATAATGGCAGTTCACAGGCCAGAAGACTTAAAGCTCCACAGCCTCCTGTGGCAGGTTAGGAAATATTGGAAGGGGGCTTTCTTAAAGGACAGGGAGCAGAGGCAGCTGACATTAAGACCAAGGGAATTGCATTTGAATAGTGAAATGAATGGAAAAGTTTACTGTAGCTGGCATAGCACAGCAGACAAATTGCTAGGGGTGAAGGAAGGTATGAAACAGAGCAGCCCATTAGAGTGTTGCTGAAGTGATTCCCCCTGATATACACTTTGGCCCTCATCCAAGTGCACACACTTAAGTAAATGACTTCTGTTCTTGAGACTGAACAGGTAGAGTTGCATTTCCTTCTTGAGACCTCCCTTTCTCAAAGTTGAGGGAAACATCATAATCCCTCCTGAAAGGGACCCATCCCAGGGCCCCCACAGGATGTCTCAGGTTTACCTTAATCTGTTTAGACAAGAGGGCCCAGCAGGGTGGGGGAAGATCTAAGACTAGGGATGGATGAGGAAGACCCTGTTTGTAGTAATAAACTCACAACCCCCATGTTTGGAGGCAGCAATCTGTCCCTTTCCATACCCCCTCCACACCCCCTTCATCCTCTCAGCCCTTTCAAATGTCAAAATTTATGCCCCCTCCTACTGAGACTATTTACTTAGACTAGAAATAAAAGTTCAGGGGAGCCCCAAGTACTTACTCCATCCTGTAGTTGATGCAAGATGCAGCTTGTTACAGTTCTTCTGACTGCTCTACAGCTACTGTCCCTGGTGCTCCCAGGAGAGCCTCAGGTACAGGCAAAGGGTGGAGGGATTACAGCAGTAGATGGAGATTTTTTGGTGCTTTGGCCTGGCTTCTTTCACTCTGATTCTGTTCAAGAACCTCCAGGTTCTGGGAGAAAGTGATGGTAGACAGAACTAGGGAAGAAGAAAAGCAAGATGGGACACTCTGCTCTGATTTTCCCTTTGCTTGTATGTATGGGCACAAGGGGAGCAAAGAAAGACAAAGGCAAAGCCAATAGAGGAAGGAACTCTGGGCTGTATACGGTACTCAATTATGAGGCTCTGTTTTCTGCAAAAATCTGCCACTTTCTTCCTGTGCTCAGGATGCAATGGCTCAAGGCAGTTATAAAAGGCTGTGTAATCTTTATTTTATTATCCTCCAAAAGCGAAACTATTGGGCTGGAATTGCAGACTGAAGACATAACCAGATTAAGCTATCATCTTAAGAGAAAACATCTCAGAGAAAAACAGGGTCCACAGACATTTTAATTCTGAAAGACTTTGTAAGGAAGCCTCAGCATGTATTGCATGCACAATAAAAAAGTTGGAAAGGAGTCTTGATTGAATCTAGTGCTGGTTTATCCAGCTCCAAAATGAGACTAAGAGATGGATTTAGTGAAATATAACTAATATAAAGACTCTTGTCAGAGGCAGGGAAGGCACTGTTCTAAGTACTCTACAAATATTCTCTATCATCTATCTATCTATCTAATCTTTCTATCATCTCTATAGCTGTATTTATAATTCTTAAAACAATAAGATAAAGGTCACATTTTCTCCCATTATACCTATTAAGACAATGGGGCACAGAGAAATTAAGAAATTTGCCCAATGTCCCAGAGTCAGGATTAGAACTCATAAATATGGCTATGGAATTAGTGGGTTTGGGCTCTGAGTAGGCAAGTAATATGATAGGCACATGACAGGGGAGGAAAGATCAAATTATGCACCTCTGTAGAACATCTCCCTCTCTCTATCTAGCTGAGGCAAGGGAGCTGCCTCCCAGCCTTACCCTCTTGCCCTGTGTTGCATACGAACTCCAACGTAGCTTTGATGTCTGCCACTTCCTTAGGTGTCAGAGGATAGGATCTAGAACAAAGATGGGACCTGGGGGCAGCTTGAAGCATTGTCACTTATTTGTCATATAACTTAGCAAGATAGTTTTAGACTCTTAGAACCTCATGTTTTTCAACTATAGAATGTGGGTTACAATTCACCCTCTGTTATGTCTTGTGAGTGCTAAATATCCATCTAGACTGGTGTATCATGGTATTGTTACTACTAATGCTTCTTTGATGATTTGAAACTCTCTGTCCCTGTTGTCTTCAATACAAGGTAAAGTTGTAGGAATCCTCCAGATCTCTAGAGTGGGGGTACTGTAGACAACTGATGCTTCCTAAGCCTATCCCCTAACACACCTCTACAGACCAGCTTTGCTCTCTCCCACAGAGCCTTGAAGGAAAATTGGATTCCAGCAAGGTGAACTGCAGCCACATTCAGCCAATGCATGAGGTAGGGTGAGGTAGGCCCCACCAATAGGTGCTAGAAGGGACCTGAAGCTTCAATGCTGGGAAATCAAGGGAAGTATAACTCAACCCCCTAACAGAGGGATGCCCAAACTGATAGTCAAGAAGAAACCCCTGTGCAGAGGCAGGGCTCCTCTGGCGCTCCAAAGTAGGCTTAACCTCTTCTGCTTCATGTTGGCAAACAGCCCATGGTGCCCCAACATATTTCATTATGCTTAGTGTGCCTATGGCCATGCTTTGCAGCTGGTGAGAAGTGTGTCAAGCTCTGTGGATGAAGGAGGCACATGCCATTGTGTGGTTCACCTACCCAACAACACCATCCCCCTGCAGCAGCTGGAACAGCTACATAATACAGCTCAGGAGCTCATTTGCAAGTATGAGCAGAAGCTATCCAGAGTAAGTGCTTGATCTGTGGGCTGGGACTGGGAGTTATCCAAGCAGAGTCTATTAAACACAGCATGGGGATGAATCCTGGAAGTAGAAAATGAATTGAAGGAAGTGACACAGCCCTCATTTTTGAGATGAATCCTTAGAATGAAGGGAAATTCTGTACTATCCTTGGGATCTCCAGTGAGAGTAACAGACTATAAAGAGGCTTATTTAGGGGGTGCCTCCCATACTAATGGATGAATTAATGGGTATGGGTCCACTGGAAGATGAAAATAGGGCAATTTTTTCCCGGGAGGATGCAACCGAATGGGAGAAGCCACAGGTGTTGACATTTGGAGCAACTTCCTGTTCATCCTCCACTGACCCAGGTCAGTGAGTATGCACTTGCCATTGAAGATCAAGAAAATGAGGTTCTGGAAATGAGCCATATACTGGAGTTGAGGAATCCCAGCACCCTTGCTTCTCCCTATGAGAACCCAGCCTTCAACCTGCTGCGCCTGGAGCTGGAGGGAGCACAGAAGTTGGTGACTCAACTTAAGGCCAAGGGAGGCGTTAGTGTGGCTGGGGACCTCCTTTATCGACTCCAGAGCCAGGTATATGAATGGATTAAAGAATACCCCTTCCTTTGCTGGGTGCAGTGGCTCACTCCTGTAACCCCAGCACTTTGGGAGGCTGAGGCAGGTGAATCACCTGAGGTCGGGAGTTTGAGATCAGCCTGGCCAACATGGTGAAACCCCGTCTCTACTGAAAAACACAAAAATTAGCCCATCATGGTGGTGGGCACCTGTAATCACAGCTACCAGGGAGGCTAAGGCAGGAGAATCTCTTCAACCTGGGAGACGGAGGTTGCAGTGAGCTCAGATGGCACCACTGCTCTCCAGCCTGGGTGGCAGAACAAGACTCTGTCTTAAAAAAAAAAAAAAGAAAAAAAACCACTCCCTGTCACAGCCTCCTGACTTCTCTAACCTCACAAATTGGACAATTTCTAACATGATTTCTTTCTGGGGGAAGAAAACTCTGAGCTGAGGAATATGACAGCCAGAATTCAGTTTTAAGAACACTCTGCAACCCACTTCCCGGGCATCTCATTTCCATAGGTAACTAATGCCAGTCTCACACTCAAGCTTCTGGCTGACTCTGACCAGCGCAGCTTTGGTGCTCTCCAAAAGGAGGTGGATGTCCTTGAGAGTCAACTAAGTGAATGTGAAAGAGATAAAGAGAAAGAACAGGGCTCCAGATACCTTGGACCACCCCTCCCCTGGGGTGAGTTCACAGACTGAATTTCTCAAAGTCTTATCTCTCCAGAGACCAGTTTGGGAGTGCATATTGGCTATGGTAAACTGAGGGTAGGGAAGTACAAATTTTTTTTTTTTTTTGGAGATGGAGTCTTGCTCTGTCACCCAGGCTGGAGTACAATGGCACAATATCAGCTCACTGTAGCCTCTGCCTCCTGGGTTCAAGTGGTTCTCCAGCCTCAGGCTCCCAGGTAGCTGGGATTACAGGTGCACGCCACCACACCCAGCAAATTTTTGTATTTTTAGTAGAGACAGGGTTTTTTCATGTTGGCCATGCTGGTCTGAACTCCTGACCTCGGGTGATTCACCTGGCTTGGTCTCCCAAGGTGCTGGAATTACAGGCGTGAGCCACTGCACCTGGCTAAAGTATAAATCTTGATAGAGAGTAAATCTTTCATTTCTTTTTGTGTGTCTCATCTTACATGAGATTATATGAGATTATAATCTTGCAGACCAAGATTGATATATTCCCATATATGGGCATAGGTATGCATAGACATATGGACACCCATAATCAGACATACATAATAGTCTATGTTCATGCAAAATCAACCTGCTGATATGCTTGTATATGCACTCAGGTACATAAGTATAAACTCAAATCCACACATAATTACTATACTTTCACATTCAGCTATCTGTGAGTTGTATGTTTAAACCTGGCTCATATCTTGCTTGCTTTCTCCTCTAGCTTCTTGTGCCCATGGAGACCTCCAGAAAGTTAGCAAACCCCTTGTGGTGCAGCTCAATTGGAGAGGCTTCTCATACAAGGCAGGTGCCTGGGGTCGAGACTCTGCAGCCAATCCAGCCTCTTCCCTTTACTGGGTGGCCCCTCTACGTACAGATGGCAGGTGAGCCCTGAGTGACTTCTGCAATCCGGTTAATTTCAAATGTCTCCTACCCTGACCCGAAGGTTTCTTTGTAGCCCCAGGGCAGCTGATTCTCTCTATTTTAAGTATGCTCCAAAGCAAACCTAGCCTAGGCCTGACAGGTCACCTCCTAATGCTCTTCTCATGAGACAAGCATGGTCCAGACTGCCCTGTGCTTCCTTCACAAATCCACTGTCTAAAAATTTTAATCCCATAGTAACTCAAATATGGCTCTACTTCTACTCTGATTCTATGTAAAGGACAAACTCTTTTACATCTGGGCCTCACAATCCTAACTTCCTGCTTAGAAGTTCAGAACACGTCTCTGGCCAAGCTTGAGACTTGGACTTAAGCCAATCTGTGTTTGAAACTCAGTACTGCCCTTTAAGCTAAGTGACCTTGGGAAAATGAATTAATGTATCAGATCCTTTTTTAGCCATATGTAAAATGAAAATAACTATAAATATATGGGAGGATTACATGAGATTATATAGAAAAGTAGGTACAACATTGGTGCTGATACATATTTATTAGATAAAAGAATGACTTAAAGAGTCAATACATAGATGAATAAGACCTTCAATAAATTGTCAGCCTTGCTAGGGAGGTAGGACCAACACACAGAATGTTAGAAGTCAGTGTCTGTGAAAATGTGATGCAGACCCATTGTGAGAGAGAGACATGAAGACATGAATACAGGTTGCAGCAGTTATTGAAGAGCCCCTGTTGAAGCTCAACTCAGAAAGATTAGTGTTCTTGAAAATTAGTATCACTGGGAATAATGTTCTCTAATTTCTATGCTTACATAAAATGTATGATATAGGCTATACTTTGTAACATATAACTCATATATGCTACACTTTGCAGCTCATAAAATATATTTACATGCCTTGGAACCCTCTCAAAATCCTTATGGGTAATTAGGACTTACTGACCAAAGTTAGGAGGTAAGATTACTCCTAACTGACAGATAGTTTAAGGAACTTTCCAATGTGACCTTGTGAGAACAGATTTCCCTGGATCCAGCTCCAGAAATACGTCCTGTTACAGGAACCTTGCATCTCAAGAACAGGTGGAAGGAAGGAAGGCCGTGGAGTCTAGATACAGAAGAATGTCCATGAGGAAGAAAAAAATCATAGCTACTATGTTTTGATTGCTCATTGAAACAAATACTCTACTAATTATTTTCTTTGCTTTATTTTGGTCAGTCCTGACAGTCAATAAAGTAGCTTGTTTTTTTTTTTTTTTTTTTTTTTTTTACAGTTTTTATTTATAAGCTGTGTGGCCTTGAGCAAATGACTTAACCTTTCTAAGACCTAGTCTCCTCATCTGTGAGGATAAAACCTACCCGACAGTGCTGTTACTATAATTAAGATTATGCATATATAGCATCTAGTGGGCACTGTAGCTATTATTATTACTGTAACTTTTTAAAATAATTATTTGTTTTGTCATGGATGAGTAAGTAAAAGATGAACTAAAAGTCAATTGTTTGAGGGCAAAGCCCCTGCTCTTAATTAGCAAATTGATCTGCACATTTTTATAGCTGTTTGCTATCATGCTTATTTCTGTCACCCAATAATTCTGAGTGTGGGGGCTTGGCCTAGGTACTTTGACTACTATCGGCTGTACAAATCCTATAATGACCTCGTGCTGCTGACAAACTATGAAGAGAGGAAGATGGGCTATGGTGATGGCAGTGGAAATGTTGTGTACAAGAACTTTATGTACTTTAACTACTATGGCACAAGTGACATGGCCAAGATGGACCTTTCCTCCAACACCCTGGTGCTGCGGCATCCGCTGCCTGGTGCTACCTATAATAACCGCTTTTCCTATGCTGGTGTGCCCTGGAAGGACTTAGATTTTGCTGGTGATGAGAAGGGGCTGTGGGTGCTCTATGCCACTGAAGAGAGCAAGGGCAATCTTGTTGTGAGTCTTCTCAACACTAGCACCCTAGAAGTGGAGAAAACCTGGCACACCAGCCAGTACAAGCCAGCCCTGTCAGGGGCCTTCATGGCTTGTGGGGTGCTCTATGCCTTACACTCACTGAGCACCCGCCAAGAGGAGATCTTTTATGCTTTTGACACCGCCACTGGGCAGGAGCACCACGTCAGCATCCTGTTGGACAAGATGCTGGAAAAGCTGCAGAGCATCAACTACTGCCCCTCAGACCACAAGCTGTATGTCTTCAATGATGGTTACCTGATAAATTATGACCTCACCTTCCTGACAATGAATAGCAGGCTACCAAGACCATCAGCCAAGAGGCCCTCTGGGGTTCATGTTTCACCAAAACCTGTCAAACCTAACAAAGCTTTCAGACCCTGAGACCCCAGGACTGGGCAGAGCATTGGTAGATGCATGTCCTCTTCCTTACCTCCAGGGGGACCACATCCCAAATTGGCGATTGGCCTAATGTTTGGGAGGCAATGATCATACGTAGTGAGTTCCTTACATAATTAATATCTCAATCAGCACATTAAGGTTCCTTTTAATAATGATCTAGGTGGATTTGATAGAGAAAAAGTAAAGTATTAGCTAACAAAATGGTACCCTTTCTTTTTCATGCTTTGGCATATTATATTCCTTTTGGAGAATCATAAATCCAGCTTCTAGAACTTGAGAGTTCTGTGATCTAGAATTGTCAGTCTTGAGTTGAGAACATCTGATTCCAGTGCAGAAGCTGCAAGGGAGCTAGTCATTAGAGTGGGATATAAACATTCCCTTTCTTATATCTACCTTCCTGTGAAGTCCCTGGGAATAAAAGGGGCAAAATCTTGGTCTGAAAATCAATTTTCATTGTCCCGGATTGATCTCACTTTTGAGGGCAATTGCAAGAAAATTGCTTTAGGCCTGAGTCTTGCTGTAGTAAGTTAGCAATTGGCAACACAGCATGGTAAGGATCTGACATGGATGGTGCTGGGGGTCTAGATATTCTCAATAAAGAATCATTGGTTTGGTAGCAGAATGTCTCCTGGCCAACTGTCTGTCATCCCTTAGATTGTCTTCAATACAGGCTTGAATTGTCTTGAAGCTCAATACAGGCTTGAGCTCTTTGCTTGTTCCTTACCTGTCTGTGTTGTGCTCCTCCCTCTCCAGGCAGGCTGATGGAACATATAAAATTCAGACCCTGAAGCCTTCCTAGTAACACAGAAATGCATATACTTTCCTATATACATTCAATGAGACATATATGTTCTCATTCATATAAAAAATTATTTCCCACTGCACCTAAACATCAGCATAGACATAAATATACATTTTAACATATCTATTAATAGAAATGTCATCAGCTTCTAAATAAAAATCAAACACAATTCTCCAAATTATATAGGACCAATAATCCAGCTTTTTAGTTGCCTGCACCTAAAGAATGTTACTACAACCACCTCATCTCTTGATTTACAGACCACATTCCCCCTTAATGCTTTGCCATAAAGGTGGCACACAAGAGTGGGTTAGGACATTGAAACAAATCATTCTAAAACTTCTGCTATAATGACATGTAGAAGAGATCAAGTGATATGTGAATAAAATATGTATTATAAAAAATAGCTCATTCATATTTAGTTTGGAATGTCCCTATGAAGAGCCTTCCTGGTTACCCGTAGGAAGAAGGAGCTTCCTAGGACAGAGGAACATTTTCCCCACCATATGGGAGCACAATTAAGTTTAGAATCCTAAAATCTAGCCTGCAAATAAGGCCCACATTTCCAGATCATTAAAACAATTAAAGAGCTCCTCCCTATGGGAGAGACTGCATTCTTACAGGAGTGTGGTTTTATCTATGGCTTCAGAAGACCCAACTTTTCATACAAGTCTGACATCCCTATACAGAACATACAAACAGTATCACACAGAAACACAGGTTTCACATTTAAAATTTGGTTTTTATTTACCTTTTTGTGTTCTTACTGGTTCTATCCTGAGAACTTCATCCCTGTTTTCTGGAAAACTATTTTAATTTATTGTAGAGACCTGGACCCCTATTTAATTTATTGTAGGGACCTGGTCCTCCTTCCCCAGCTGGTCCAGGGTAGCTGCAAGGATAGACTGACATCATAATACCCCTTTTCTGAAGATTAATGCCCTGGGTGGGTGGGGTAGGAGGAGGGGTAGCCCTGGGAGAAGCCATAACCACTTTGTCCACCATAGATAAAGTATGAATCAGTAGCCATGCCAAGCCTCAGCTGGGCCACATCTGGAGAACTCGGGTGAGGGCACAACATTGCAAAATACCTGGCCCCAGCCTGGTCACTCATACCTTTTTGGGCAACAAGAACACTATCCTGTGGTCTGAGAACACTGTATCTGAGACAAAGGCCAGCAGAAACATTATCCTGCCCTCACCCTTTCTGCCCCTGCTTCCGCCTGCTCCCTGTCTGTCTACCCATGAAAGCTCATGCATGCCATCTCTTGAACATCCAGGATGTCCCAGAGTGGACATTCTTCAGGTCTTCCTGCAGACAAAAATATCTCTTCAAGTGCCACTCAAGTGATAGTGAAAGCTGCAGGCAACCAGAAAGACTTTATGGTTGCTGATGACATCTCGGTGAGGCAGTTCAAGGAGAAGCTATTGGCTCACTTCCAATGCCAAATGGATCAACTTGTGCTGGTCTTCATGGGCCGTCTTCTCAAAGACCATGACACGCTGAGCCAGAGGGGCATTAGGGATGGTCACACCATCTACCTGGTCATCAAGTCCAAGCACAGCTCCAGATCTCTGGCCCGTTCCTTCCAGGACCTGCCAACGAATGATCTCTGCCATTGGGACAGAAACACTGAAGGAAACAGCAGTGGGGTGCACCAACCAACAGGCACAAATGGAGCTCCAGTGGAATTGGCCCACTATGTGGGATCTGATACACCCAAAGTGCATACCCAGAACTTGGACGTGAGCCATCCAGAGCACATAGCACAGATGCTGGAGAATCCTAGCATCCAGCGGCTTCTGTCCAACATGGAGTTCATGTGGCAGTTCATCTTAGAACACCGAGACATGCAACAATTGATGCGGCAGAGCCCAGAGGTTTCTCACCTTCTTGACAATTCCAAGATCTTATGGCAGACTCTGGAGCTTGCCAGGAACCTTGCTATAATTCAAGAGATAATGCAGTTCCACCAGCCTTCGCAAAACCTTGACTATCCACTGAACCCACAGCCGTATCTGGGCTTAGAGACAATGCCAGGTGGGAATAATACCGTGGGTCATTGATCAATGTGCTGATGTCAATGATCAAATGCTGAACAGCATGCAAGATCCTTTTGGAGGAAACCCTTTCACAGCTCTTCTGTCTGGACAAGTGCTGGAACAAGTCCAGTCTTTATCTCCACCTCCACCTCCACCCCAGGAATGACGAGACCAGCTCCCACACCATCCTACAATCCGAGTCACTTATAATAGCTCTCATGATTTATCTTCAAACATCTCAGCCAATGACACCCCCAACAAGGTCAACCACGCTTCCAAGGTCAACACTGCTACAATCTCCACCAAGGGCCAGATCCACATCTGTGCCACTCAGCAGCCAGCTGGGATACTAGCCTTACCTAGCATATAGTTTACCCAGCAGCCTCAAGAAGAATGCAAGCATGCCACTTTTCTCTGAGTAGCTCCAGACAGATATTAGAGGGTGATCTCCAGCTGTCAGATGAGCAGACCAGCTCCCAGGTCACAGAAGGCATGATGCAGTTGCTTATGAACAACCCCTACCTGGCAGCTCAGATTATGTTGTTCATGAGTATGCCCAGGCTGTCTAAACAGTGGAGGCAGCAGTTGCCCACATTCCTGCAGCAGACACAGATTTCTGACCTGCTTATTGCTTTAGCCAACCCTAAAGCATCACAAGCAATATTGCAGATTGAGCAGGGTCTCCAGCTGCTGGTCACAGAGGCTCCTGTTCCTCTGCCTTGGGTTGCACCCTACCTATGGGGCCTGGGTTGGCTTCCTGCCCCCAGCTGCAGCTACCTTGACACAGTGCCCCAGTCCTGAAATCTTCCAGCTATAGCTGAGCCCAAGGGACCTGAGTGCTGCCACAAGTCTGGAACAGTCCTACAGAGGCTACAGTTCCCAGATGGGGATGCTTCCCACCCTCTGCAAGCTCCTGAGATTTGTTTTAGCAAACAGATGGAATATCTCCAGGTTCCCAGGGATTTGGGAACCATCATGCCAATCTACAGGCATTTATTTCTACTGAAGGGGATACCAATGCTGCTACCCACAAGCTCAAGAGATTGCAGATTCTAACCACCATGCCTACTTGTTTGCTTGCTACCTGCCTGCTAACCCACCTGAACATCTCATTTGCTATTTCCACCTCTCCTGATGCTTCCAGCCAGGAGAAGTCCTGGAATAGGAGGTATCAACCAATGCTTCCTGTACTGAAAAATAGATCATTGGCCACAGCTGGAACATCTGTCAATAAAATGGCTACACCTACTTGCACCGATCTGAGGTTTGACTTTATTTCTTTTATTAAAAAAAAAAAAAACTGTGTGATATCTTTGTCTCACCTACTATACATGCATTATCACACAAAACACATGCACATATTAGTATAGAGATAAAAATAATGTTTTTATCTCTAAAACATGAGCATTTCGAGCATGGTATATGAAACTTGAGCATGGTATATGAAACTGATCATTTTGAACATGTCATCTCAGACAGGCACATGTATATATACAAGCTCACATAGTAAAAGATTCACATACACAGGCATATAGAGTACACATCATAGTCATGAGCAAACACAGATGCAAATACCTAGAGACACCTAAACAGACCCATACATAGGGAAAACAATCATAACATGCTCAAACAGAAAGAAACATATTACATAGATAGGTCCAGATACAGACTCATAAAGACTGTCTGAATTTCTTAAACCCAAATTGTTCAAATTTGAAAGTGGAACAGGAATAATACATGAGCCAGAATAGGGTGAATTCATGTATCAACCCAGCCTAATGAACAGTCATCATCAGAGCCTCTTACTAATTGACATTGCCACCATTATAAGGTAGTGATGGGCTGTCACCAATTTCTCTTTAGCATACAGAGATGCAGCTGCTGCCATCTCCATTATGTATTTCAGTCACCGCAAATTCAGCCCTCCATGCGGCACAGGATCTTCCAAGAGTATCATCTCCTTCAGTATATCTTATGTTTGTAGTTTGCATTTTCCATGGTTGCCAATGCCCCATCTTTTTCTCTTTCTGCCTCACCTGGAGTATCCCAGCATGGCAAGATATGCAATTACTTGTGTTTTAATTTTTCTATGATTAAATAATTTAATACACTCTTACCGTAATAATTCAATGTTGTTTTAGGCATTGAAAAAATAGCAGTGAAAAAACAAAGATCCTTTATTGATTTTACTCTCTTTCGTGGAGATATGAGTTATGTTAGGTGGTAAGTGCTGTGAAGTAAAATGAATCAAAATGAGATATTCTACAGGCAATCAGGGAAGGCCACTCTGAAAAGGTGGTGACATTTGAGCAGAAATCAGAAGTAATCAGGAGAACTGAGCGTGCATTTCACTGAGACAAGGATGATGCAGTGGTTGTCTGAAAGTAAAAGCACCAAGGTAGCATTATTCCTGCTACGTTTACAAGAAGGTGATGTAGCTGAAATGGACAAAAAGGAGGAGCGATGGGTAAGAAGTCAAAGAGATTGTGAAAAGTATTTTTTTTTTTTTGAGATTGAGTTTTGAGATAGAGTTTCACTCTTTTCATTGCCCAGGCTGGAGTGCAATGGCATGACCTCCGCTCACCACAACCTCCACCTCCTGGGTTCAAGCAATTCTCCTGCCTCTGCCTCCTGAGTAGCTGGAATTACAGGCATGTGCTGCCATGCCTGGCTAATTTTGTATTTTTAGTAGAGATGGAGTTTCTCTATGTTGGTCAGGCTGGTCTCGAACTCCTCACCTCAGGTGATCCACCCTGATTACAGGTGACAGCCACTAAGCCTGGTTGATTGTGAGAAGTTGTATAGGTCTAGTAAAAACTTTGGATTTTACTGTGAATATAATAGACAGTCACTGGTGAGTTTTGAGCAAAGCAATTAAGTAATTCAGTTTATCAGTGTGGCTTCAGAGTAGAGAATAGACTGTGGTAGAGGAAAAGCAGGGAAGCAGAGAAACCATTTAGGAGGCTTTTACAATAGAGCAGTTGAGAAACAGTAGTTTCTTGCACTAGTGTGGGAGCAGGGGAGGTGGTGAGAAGTAGATTCTGGACTCTAAAGGGGACCCACACAAAGGAGATTTGTGTGCTCAACAGACCACCTTTTCTGAGCCCCAGCACGATCAACAGCGATAGTGAAGCATGGGCCTACAAACTTCCAAGTGCTTCTAGAAAGCTCACTGCCAAAGATCCCTACTTCACTTCCACACCTACCAAAAAGATAAGTCTCAAGAAATAAATTACAGTGAAAATGGATGTTTTTACCTCCTCGTTTAGTATAATTAAGCTTTATACCCTCTTTGCTATAGCTTGCATAAAAAGCTCAAGCTATCCAGGTCATCTTTCTTATTTTCATCACAATATGCTCTGAAAATTCCTCACTTGGCTCATTTTTCTACTTGTCACCCATTTTCCAAGTCTTTGCACCCTGCCATTTAGAAGTCATAACTTAGCAATAGAGAAACCTACATATCTACAACCTTCTTTCTAGAGATGATTCTACCTGTTTTCTATCATGGAGATCTGGATGTCCACTGAAGACACTGCTTCTCCAGAAAGCTGCATCTTTGTTTCCCTTGGACTTAGATAGATGTCATTCTTGCACCATCTTACTGCTTCTCAGCCCAGATTTCTGGCTCCAAAATCACTTCATGCTCCATGGATGTAATAATTGTGGCATAATACTCGCCTAGTTAACTTCGTGATACTCAGCTCTTCACTTAGTCTCTGTTTAGGCAAAGAAAAGCATACAACTGTGCTGACTAGTTCCATTTAAACTTATTACCAAAAGATTTAATTATCATCTTAGTAACCCTAACTGCATTTTCCCAGCCCAGTGATTCTCACCAGCATCTGCACCAGGATCACCTGGAGGGTGTGTTAAAACACAGATTTCTGCATGACATTCCAAGGGTGTCTGATTCAGTAGGTCTATGGTAGGGTTAAAATCTCTCATTTCTCATAAGTTTCCAGGTGATGCTTAGGCTGCCAATCTGGGGATCATACCTGGAAATGTCTTAGTTAATTTGCTACCTTACTGTTAGACCAAACTGCGCCATTTTGTAAACTCCCCCACTATTTTGCAGACCTTGGTCAAAGTGAAACATTTCATGGGGGTTCAGGCTGTGAGAAACATCCTGCCACAAGACAGACAAAGGCCCATCTAAAGTTACATCTCTATCATATCTTGCTGGCCGAAGGTCCAATGAACACCATACTGACATCCCACCAAAATGAGGACCAAACTGCCTCATCATGAGAACACTTTATCAATATCTTGCTGGGCAGCCAGCCATACTGACCAGATCCTTCCTGCCCGTACCTATAGATTGGCCCAGCCTGTAAGCAGTGGTAGGCTCTGGCATTAGGTTGGTCCCACATTTCCGTGGGTTTTATGCTGGACATAAAGCCTGCATTTGCGTGTGTGTTTGCATGTGTCTGTGTGTGTGTGTATGTGCATATTTCTTTAACTCTTGCTTTCCCTTCAAAACCTAACACTCTTTCAGATGATTATTTTATATTTTGTTTTTTCTTCTCAAATCTTCAATATCTACTTCTTAATCTAAATCTTACCTAAAGTTGGGCTTATTTTTAACAAGAAAGACAATAACAATCAGAAGAGTCTTCTACCTGGGTCTACCATGAAATCAACCAACTAGCTTATGTCTGTCCCAATACACTCTGCCTCCCAGTCTGCTATCATGAATAAACTGTTCATATTCCTACACCAAGCTCTTCACATGGGCACTTGCTCCCAATCTCTCTAACTTATCTATTCGAGAACTTAATAGTTTTCCCTTCCTCATGCATCAGGTTTTTTCTACTCACTGGATTGTTTCCATCAGAATATAAACATCATACACTATTATCTTAAGAAAAAAATCTAAAAAGTCATTAACTTTACATTCCCACATAGCCATTATCCCCTTTCTTGCATTTGTAATACTCTTACTAGATCTAGTTTTTCCCAAAGCATTTGCTTGTAATCACACTCTAATCAGGCTTCCTACCTCTACTATTATTCCAAAGCTAGTCTCATCATGGTCTCCAATTCTTTATTTTTCAAATTCAGTGGCCAATTCTCAGTCCTCATCCTGCTGACCTAGCAGCATCATCTGACATGGTTGGTTACTCTCTCCATTTTGAAACTCTTCTTCCTTTGGCCTTTCTCTTTTCTCTCTCCTTTTTTCCTTACTGTTTTATTTTTTCTCAGTTTCCTTTGCCAAATCCTTCTGATCTTCCAGATTTCTAAATGTAGAGCCACAAGACTCACATTGTATATTCTCTATTATTTTCCCTATATGCACTAACTAGCTAATCTAAACCAGTCCTTGATGTTAGATACCCTTTGAATGCTAGTGAACTGTGGACTTATAATATTCAACTACTATTCTGTATCGCCATTTGTATATAAAATGGGCATATCAAACATATGGAAAACCGTTGAACAACCTGCTAATTTAGAAAACATGCTTAATTCTAATCTTTAACCTAGTAAATATTCAATCCTTTCAGTTCCTTTGGGGGATAAGAGTTTCTAGTAAAAAAGTTATGTTATGTTTGACTCTTCCCTTATACTCCAAATCATATTGATCAGCAAATCAATACTTTGAAAATATGTAAAGAATTCATGTTAATGTTGAATAAGACAGAAAACTGAGACACAGGATAACAGGAAAAAGTCCCTGGACCAGGAAGTCACTGAATGTGGGTCTGAATGGAGACAGAGAGGACTAGGAGATGTCTTATAATGTTCCAATCCCAGTCTGAGCCTCCACAGAAGTCTCTGCAAGAAGGCACTTGAGGTGGAGGAAGTAGAAGTGGTAAAAAAATGGGAGAGCAAGAGTTCCCAGGGATCCAGAGCTCCTTTGAGAAGACTCAGAAATCCACTGTGTGAGGCTGTGATGTCAGAACTGAGGTCACAGAAGGGACCTGAGAGTGCAGGTTCTGACCCAGAAGGCCTCAGGAGTGGCTGTGCAGCAAGATGAGGGAGGTCTGGAGCCCTGCATAAAGAGAAGGACAGGACTACCACTGACTGGTATCTACACCCCAGCCTAGGCCCTTCCTCCCACCTTTGTCCCTGTACTCATCAACTACAGACCTCTTTCCCAGGACCCTGCCTTTCCCTCCCCTGACTCCAGCATGTCCCAATCTCATAATCCTCCTAGAGCACCCTGTCCCAGAAACATCATGGCCCCTTTCATGTAGACCCTGCAGCTTTCCCTATCCTGATACTCAAGCCCCTTTTCACGCTCATCCTTCCTAC